CCTGTGCTTCTTTGTGTTCTGTAGTGCTTCCCTCTGGATCCTCGCCTCTGCCCGTCATTACATGTTGATCTTCCCAGGACTCCGTACTTGACCATTCTCATGCTCCATCAGGGCCATTTCATTTACTTGCATCATCTTCATTGCTACTGCTGTTTCCATACTAGCTATCCCCATTTCTTTATCTACAGCACCACTTCTGGGCCGGGGCTCCAAATATGACAACTTCCTCAAACTCAACCACCAGTCTCCAAAAGTGATTTTTGTCCCCCATCACTTGATCCAGCCACACCCCTGCTGCCTCAGGACTTTTACACTGCTCTTCAGGAAATTAAGTGCTTAGGATCCTTCCCCCAGAGAGCCTGAGGACTCATACAGAGAGGCTTTCCACGACCATCTCTCTAGGAGCACCCCTGTTCCCTCTCCTTTGTTTCAGTACCCTTGTTTCCACCTACCATTATATATGTCTTTGTTGACTGTCTCCTTCGCAAAAGTATAAATTCAACAGGGGCAGAATGTGTGTCAATTTCAGTCTTGACACTAGGTACGTAAGCTGGGGCTCAACATATTTTTGTTAAATGATTTAACTTATATCTTTATCCCTGCCCCAGACTTCTCCTCTTTGTGTGTTCTAGTCCCATAAAGAGCTCACTCATCAATTCAACAAATCACTCCCCTCAGAAATCAGCATGTCATTGGTGTTGACTTCCTAGAACTCCCTCAAGGCAGTGTTTGCTGGTGTACCTGGAACCGGGTCTGAAGCAGGACTACAGACGGAGGCCTGCCCTCTTCTTGTCCTGTTCTAGCGCTGTGCCATTCCAGGAGACCCTTCAGACCAACACGTGGGGCAGTCTAACCTGCAGGTCCAAGCTCTGTCCATCCCCCAAAGCCTAGGGGTACCCACACACAGCTTGGTCTGCCTTTAAGAGAATGGGGAAGAGGTTTGGAATCGGGCTGACTAGACGATGTCCAAGGTCCTGCATACTTCGTTTGTAATCTAGAAGTGCAGGTAGGTTGAACTCTGCATGGGCACATCCTGTGGGCCCCAGGGAGGAAGGCACAACTGGAGGAGGGTGGAATTAGAGCCTTCTAAAGAGCAAGGACGAGGAGGCAGCTGTCACCTGATCTGAGCAGCACCACCTGGGATAAACTGCAGTAAAAGGTAGATGTAGATGAAGAGTGAAGTCCACATAGCATACTCCTTCCTCCCATTCCAGAAAACCCAGGATTTAAGTTTTATGCCTCAAGAGCCATCAATGTGTAGATTCAGAAACCTTGGGTAGAAATCTTACCAGAAACTGGAGTTGGGGTCAGCATTGTGGTGTAATGGGTTAAGTCACTGCTTATGATGTTGGCATCCCACATTAAGTGCCAGCTGAGTCCTGGCTGCTCCACTTCCAATCTACCCTCCTGCTAAGGTGCCTAGGAGGAAGTGGGGGATGGCCCAAGTGCTTGGATCCCTGCCACTCATGTTAGAGACCAGAATGGAATGCTTAACTCCTGGCCCAGACCTAGATGTTGTGGCCATTTGAGGAGTGAACCAGCAGCTGAAAGATACATCTCTCTCTGTGTCAATCTGCCTTTCAAATAAATTTCACCAAAACATAAAACTTCTGTTCTTTGTAAGATACTATTATTAAGAGACTGGAAGGACACAGTAAATACTGGAAGAAGAGAAACACTGTATTTTCAGATCATGTATCTGTTTGAAAAGACTTATTTGAAAAGGAGAGAGAGAGAAATCTTCCAGCTACTGGTTCACTCCCCCAAACTACCGTGGTGGCTGGGGCTGGGCAGGTTAAACCCAGGAGCCTGGAACTCCATGCAGGTCTCCCACAGGCATGGCAAGGGCCTACGCACTTGAGCCATCATCCGCTGCTTTCCCAGGTGCATTAGCAGGGAGCTAGATCTGAAGTAGAACAGCCAGGACTCGAAGCAGTGCTCATTTGGGATGGTGGCAGTGGCTTAACCTGCTGTACCTCAATGCCAGCCCCTCAAATCGTGTATCTGTTAAAGGACTTGTATCCAAAATATATAAAGAACTCTCAACACTCATCTAAAAATAATAGATGACCCAAAATTTTCACTATATTCTCAAAGGAATCTGGGTTCTCCCAAAAATATTAATGACCACTCATTTATAGACCCTGGAGTAGTCAGAGATTCTGCAAAAGCCAAACCCAGAGAAAGGATCTCAGAGCAGGGTCCAAGCTCCCTGTATTGGAAACCTGCCTTGTGACATGTTTCAGAGTCTATTCCTCTAAAGATGAGCGTTTCATCATCAAGTACAGAAGCAGCCAGGGACCAGTCTGTCTTCATTCCAGTCTTCCTTGGGGGTCTGAGATGGGCCACATCACCTCTAGGAGCTTGCTTCCTCTTGCACAAGGCCAAGTGCTGATGGCACAATTTCTGTAGTTCTTTTAATGTGACATGTCAAAAATAAAGTCGCTAGCCCTGCTGGAGGGAATAAGGTTTATACATCGTCCTTATTTATTTATTTTTTTTTTTTGACAGGCAGAGTGGACAGTGAGAGAGAGAGACAGAGAGAAAGGTCTTCCTTTGCTGTTGGTTCACCCTCCAATGGCCGCCGCGGCCGGCGCGCTGCGGCCGGCGCACCGCGCTGATCCGATGGCAGGAGCCAGGAGCCAGGTGCTTTTTCCTGGTCTTTTTCCTGGTCTCCCATGGGGTGCAGGGTCCAAGCACCTGGGCCATCCTCCACTGCACTCCTGGGCCACAGCAGAGAGCTGGCCTGGAAGAGGGGCAACCGGGACAGAATCCGGCGCCCCGACCGGGACTAGAACCCCGTGTGCCGGCGCCGCTAGGCAGAGGATTAGCCTAGTGAGCCGCGGCGCCAGCCATAGTCCTTATTTATCCCAGAAATATTTGTCACCTGGGTACTCTGGCTCAAACATTTGTTAGAGGGTGAACAAGGCTCAGTAACTTCTTCAGGATATCCAAGTTTAATAGAGGAGATCTCTCTCTCTCTCTCTCTCTCACACACACACACACAGAGGAAACAGGCAATCACAAAATAAGAATAAAGTCCCTTGATTGATAAATCCAGGGAAGACAGAAAAGGAACATTGAACTGGTCTTGTGGGATCAGGAAGGGATTCCTAGAACCAGTTGGGTTTGAGACCAGAAGAGTGCAGAGAAAGAGATGCCGCTGAAGTGTTACAAGCGCAGGGAAGTGGAGAGAGCTCCAAGTGAGGAGGCAGATCAGGGATGAGCTGCTCACAAACCACACAGCGGTTTCACTGCGTGCTGAGGGCCTCGAGTCTTACATTAGAGTGGTGTGAAGGGATGGGCCTCTCACTAAGATCATTCCAGCTGCAGCAAGGGAGGACAGACTGAAGGGTGAAGGGGATCAAAGTAGGAAAGAGGCTCATTAGAAGGTCATTTCCGGAAGCCAGCCGTGGTCTAGATAATTGCAGCTAACAGTCTGAACCCCCATTATCTCATTTAATCTTTGCAGCTGTGTAAGGGAGATATAATTACCCCCACTTACAGATGGGGAATCCAAGGATCAGAAAAGCAAAGTAATTGGCCAGAGTTGCGTGATAAGTGGTGGCTGTCGAGAGAGTGAGGTAGACGGATTTGTGAAGCATTTAGCAAGTAGTGTGGGCATGACTGGATGGCTAATTATGCAGTTAATATTCACTACTGACTTAGGGAGAGGGGCTACGGGAGCAGGAGTTAAACATGATATGCAAGTTTCTGCAAGAGAAGCAGCTGGGGGGTGGAGGAACAGGGCGAGTCTGGGTTTGATCTGAGGGTGCTGGCCATTCCCAAGTGGAGCTCTCCAGAGGGCAGCTGCAGAGGCTGGTGTAAAACTCGAAGTGAGATTGGGGTGTCACTGGGCTCATTCTCTCCCAGAAGGAGAAATAAGCAAAATTACCTTTGCAGAATCTGAAAATGATGCAAACTTTGGAAACAAAACATCTAGAAAAACAGAGGATGGTATTTCCCACAGAGCCATTTAGGTCATTGTTACAGGGTCATGTCCTTCACTAAGGTCTTGAAGTTGCCAGTCCACTACTCCACTGCACAGGGTGTCTAACCGTGCTTCCTGAGCCCCCTTGTCTCCTCCAGCAGGGAACTTCTGAAATGGGGCAGAGCCATTTAGCTACTTAGCATTTCAGTTCACTCAGCAGGGTTCAAATGGCCTGAGAACACAGCCCTAACCTACCCCTAGCCTCCTAGAGACTGGCTCACTCAGAAGTAAATTTGCTCAATAATAATGATAATGGTGAAATATTACCATACCAAACACCCTTAGAGGGGAGGCTACACTTCTCCAGTTGAGCTGGCCTTTTCCTTCCCTGCCATCAAAAATGCTGAACTTGCAGAAAGGAGAAAGAATTTTAAAAATTCTGACAAAGTCTTCCTTCCAAGTCTTAGCTGTAGAGTTAATCACAATTTTTCTTCCATATTTGTATTTATCCCAAATGCAAAGCACTTTCACTCCCTATTTCTCCTTAGGCTGGGCCTCCATTAACAAAAAAGCTTCCTAAGAGAAAATGACTTGTAAGTAATTTGAAAATTGTTGCCACGCCCTGTTGATACATAATCATTGCCTTAAGCAGACTGTGCCTCTGTGTCATGAACAGAGAGCCTTTAACGGCTTCTAAGAGGTATCTCTGTTCAGGGAACCCAATCCTAGTTTAGAAACTGTTTTAGTATTCTTGATGGTTACCCCAAAATATCTCCTTAGAGTCACAAGGCTTTCTCTCATTTTTCCTTTTGGATGTGGAGTCCCGCCCCCCTTCTCCCAAGCTAATGAGTCATCCATGCCAAACGTTTCCATGATGCTTTGCCACCAGCATATCCTTCTGAGGAAGCCATCCAAGTTTTTGTGTCCTCCCAAGACATAGGTGGCTCTATCGGCAGGCTCCAGACACTCAAGAACATCTGTGCAGACCGCATCACTGTAATGACAGTCATCCCCAATTTAAGGAATGTGATGAAGATCCCTGGATTACTAACACAATTCTCAGGTGGTCTTGATTTTAAAAATTATACTTTTAATTATAGAATATTGTTAGAATAATACAGATGTAGATAGACATTAGGATAACTGTCACCAATACCATAAGGAAAACTTGCTCTACATACTTACTTGTCCATTCACTCTCCACAACCATAGGAAACAGGCACAGAGTGTTCAGGGCGTGTGCAGAAGCAGCCAGGGACGTGGGAGCAGAAGGCATGCAAAACACGTTAGCGAAGGGAGTCTGCTGCTTAACTTCTACACAAAGTTCAGCACAGAAACTGGCAGGACAGAGAGGCGGGGCAGGTGCAGCTCTTGCCCTTCTGACTTCCCAGCGGGAATGCACAGGTATGGAGAGATGGCTGGGCACTTAGCAGCCTCTTCTTGAGCCCCTTACTTCTAAGGAGCCAAAAGCAGCAGCAGGAACAAGCCAGGTGACGCGAGAAGAGCGGGGCACAGGGCTGAAGTAAGAGTGAGGTCATGGAGCTTCTGCCTTCTGTGGCCACTCCTAAGCCTGTTGCTGTAGCGGCTGACAGCAGCGGCAGGAGAACCATGATGTTCATTAAAACCAGCAACACTGATGTGGGAAAAGACATATTTGATTCTGGTTGCCAAGAACATGTAAGTCACCCAACAAAGGATGAACACCCACGGTCTGCTAGATTTTGTAGAACAAAAACACATGCTTCCTGCCCAAATCTGATTTAAAGAGTGGCAAACATGAAGACGCCCTCTTGGTGGGGGTGTTTTGTTATCTTTGAGGTTGTGTCCCTTGCAAGTGATGGAGCCCTACAAAGCTGTGGGTCACTGTAGTGTACAACGCACTGCTGTACACCACAGCAGAGAGCATGGGCTCCTTTAGCACCAAATCCCAAGCAGCTATGGCAAAAACATTTTTAAAAATGTTAGAGCATTCAGAGTATAAAGCACAGTAGAAATAAACCGGGGCACTCTGGAAATACTCCTTACTCCAGTTCCGCCTCCTGGACACCGACTCCCCCTCACCCGTGTGTGTGTGGATGGGCGTCACCATTAGGAAATTTCTTAATTCCTGCTGTGGCTGAGATAAAGGGAACTGACACTACGGGGCTTAAACTGGGTCAACTCTTACTTTAACCATTTACAACTGTAGTCTGGGAGGTCAAATACATTCTTACCTAGGTTTATGAATTGCTCTGACTAGGCCAGAGTTCTTCAGTACTATGGAAGATAATTCAGTCTGAGAAGGACATTCAACCTGTATGTCCAGTCGTCATCTCCCATAACTGAAGGATGCATACAAACAAGTGCTTAATTCTACGCAGAGACAAGCCTTACAGGACAGTGCACACTGGAGACACGACATTGCTCACGCTGGAGTTATGTCTGTAGTTCTAGCATGTGATCCACATCGTCCAAGAGCATGCTAATTCTGTGCAAATTCAGTTGCTATCAGAAAAACCACAGGAACACACGTCACTGTACATACACATGCGCTTATGCAAGCTATGATAAACTTGGGATGTGGCCCTTATCCAGCCCTAGAGTTAGCAACACAGGGAGACCGGAGCTTAAAGGCTAGTGGGGAAAGGACACAGAAATGGCCTGTGTTCCCTGGGAAAGGACCCTGGGCTTCCTTCCTGAAGGGCTCAGTTCCACTTGCTCCCACACTCCAGCACCTGTGGTCCTGTTTTCCCTTGGAAAGATCTCCCCTACGATGTTCCCTACAGGATTTCCCAAAGAACATTTATATACCTGATAAATGGCAAAAACAACAGTGGCATCTAAGATGGGTCCTTGGTCCCCAGACCTATTTCTCACTTTTCCTTTCACACAGTCTCTTCAGTTACCTTTCACAAAGAAGCAAGCTTTAAACAGGTTAATCAGAAACAATGAGGAGGAGAAAAGTTAACAATAACTGCCTTCATCGTGCAGAAGTCTGCTCTCAGGAAGATGGAAAATGTAAATGTGTGAGCCCTTTGGAAGGGAAGACGCGTATGCCCAACTACTGTGGTGTGTGAACAGGCGTGGCAGTTCAGGCCCGGCCTCTGGTTGCCTTTTCCCAACCCTACTACAGCCCCACATTTCTGCGAGCAGAGTTCTTTGAGCCAAGGATGGTCAAAGATCGATTTCATTTCTAGCCCCAAGCAGTATTTGTCTGGTGCTCTTCAGATTTCCAGTTACTTGTGGGGGCTGATTTTGATGAAATACTCCACTGAGTAATAAAAATCACTATTCCAGGGGAGGGGATAACATTCCCAGATCCAAATGGCTCGTCTCATTTGACGTTTTAAACTGTGGCCCACGACTCGGAAAGTCACTGTGGTAAAAGTAGCCCGGTCTTGAGGGAGCTCACAGATAGTCAATAAAAGTGTCCCTTCAAACAAAATCAGTCCACGGTCACGGTCAGTCAGTGTGCACTCTCTTGTGTTTAATAAGAGCTGAGCTCCGGCTGAAACTCTTCTCGCATTCGGTACACTCATAGGGCTTCTCTCCCGTGTGCACTCGCTGGTGCGTGATGAGGTTGGAGCTCTGCGTGAAGCCTTTTCCGCACTGCACACACTCGTAGGGCTTCTCCCCCGTGTGCGTTCTCTGGTGTTTAATGAGATCTGACCTCTCGCCGAAGCTTCGCCAGCACTCGCTGCACTCGTAGGGCTTTTCTCCGGTGTGGATTTTCTGGTGCGTGATGAGATGCGAGCTGCGGCTGAAGCTCTTCCCGCAAGCGTTGCACTCGTAGGGCTTCTCCCCGGTGTGGGTTCTCTGGTGCTGCACCAGGTGTGAGATGCGGCTGAAGTTCTCCCCGCATTCGTTGCAGTGGTACGGTTTCTCCCCGGTGTGGGCTCTGCGATGGCGGACCAGGTCGGAGTTCTGGCTGAAATTCTTCCCACACTCGTCACACTTGTAGGGCCTCTCCCCGGTGTGGACCCGGTAGTGTTTGATGAGATCGGATCGCTCGCTGAAGCCTCGTCCACACTCGTTGCACTCGTACGGCTTCTCGCCTGTGTGGGTCCTCTGGTGCTGAGCCAGGTGGGAGCTGCGGCTGAAGCTCTTCCCACACTCCTCGCACGCGTAGGGCTTCTCCCCGCTGTGGGTCCTTTGGTGCTGGATGAGGTGAGAGAGCCGGCAGAAGCTCTTCCCGCACTCGTTACACTTGTGAGGCTTCTCTCCTGTGTGGATTGTCTGATGCTGAATGAGGTGAGAGCTCCTGCCAAAACTTTTCCCGCACTCGTTACAGTCGTAGGGCCTCTCCCCAGTGTGCGTCCTCTGATGCTGAATGAGGTGTGAGCTCCGACTGAAGCCCTTCCCGCATTCGTAGCACTTGTAGGGTCTGTCTCCGGTGTGAGTCTTCTGATGCCGGTTCAGGTCTGAGATCTGGCTGAAGGCCTTTCCACAGTGGGGACATATGTGGTACCGGATCCCCGTGTGCGCTTCTCTGTGCACCAGCAGCTCGCTGACTTGCTGGAGAGGATAGCTTGCCCACTCTTCCGCCGTCAAGTCTCCCCACGGTCTTTCTGCCCTATCCCCGCTTTCAAAGGCCTCCTCGCTTTCAGGGTTTTCCTCGGCATTCCCAACAGGTCTTTCAGATGTCGTCCCAAATTCTACATCGTCGCTAATCTCTTGCTTTGGGTTCACCTCATTCTCACTCCTGATCTCAAAATCTGTAAGAGAGAGTAAACAGTAGCACTGGTAAGTGCACAAAATAATCTTAACTGCGTGCCAGGAACACAGTTACTGCATTCATTTCCACAGCCATCCTGAGAGTCAGCCATTATCACAAAAAAACCCGGAACTCAATCAAGTGCGACGACTGGCCCAAGGTAGATGGTAGAGCCAGAATCCAAACCCAAGTCCATCTGCTAAGTTCATCCCCTGCATCAAAACTGATAGCTCTTTAAGAAAACCGTATGTATTCCGGTGTTTTAACAAAACAACCAGGAACAGAAAATACAAGAGACTCTAAATTAGAATCTCTGAAACCCAAGAGCCTCGATATTTGTGTGTGTTTTACTTAATATGCTAGTATGGAAAAAAAAAACAGATTTTTAGCTATCCATGTCGTGTTGTCTTAGTTGACAGAAAAAATGACCACTGAATGCTACTTCCTAGTGGGCTTTTAATGAATGTAGGGATGGGAAGGTTGGAGAAGGCAAAAAAAGATGTCTCGGAATTTTCTGGGTATTGTCTAAGTATATTTCAAATATAATCTTCAAATGAAAGTCAAAATGTACAACCACTATTCACAAGGAACTCTGTACCAGACACTGCATTTTCTGAATTGGCTTTCTTAGTTCACTGTACAGAATGAGGGTAGGAGGTATATGTCGGGGGAAAAGGATCTGTGGGTGAATTGGTTTGGTGACCGGTGCATACAAATCCACAGTGCCTGGTAACACACACTTTCAAAGTTCTCAGATGTCCTGAGGTGTTTAACCTCTCCCGGACTCATTTAGGCAACAAAACAGTTGTCAGTGCTTCCATCCTTCGGACATCCTCCTTGGGCTGGACAGTAGAAATGTAAATTGGTACTTTTTAAGTTCTTATTTCTGTTGGATTGAGTGTGATATGTGGGTTCAAACAAAGATCCAGGACACTTGGGACATCAGAAAAGTCCAAGTCAAAATGGAAGTCCTGCGCTGGGCGCTGTGGCCCCTGCCCCTGGGGACGCCTGCATGCCATGTCTGACTTCCAGTTCAGCTCCCTGCTGGCGTGCCTGGGAAGCGGCAGGTGCCGGCACAAATACCTGCGTGCCTGCCACCTATGTGGGAGACCTGGTGGTTCCTGGCACTTGGCTTCTGCTTCACCAGCCTTGACTGTTGCAGTCATTTGGTGAGTTAAACCAGAGGATGGAAGATCTCTCTCTCTCTCGCTCTGTCACTCTGCTTTTCAAATACATTTTTTTTAAAAAAGGAATACCTCAGAGTCATCTTTTGTCCTGGCAAAAGCTATAGAAACAGAGATTTCAAAAAATGGGATTAGTCCTAATAAGCTGTACACACTGGTGAACTGTCAAGTCTTAACAGGAGAGAAGTGAGTCAAAAGACTGTGCAGTTCAAGAATACACTCTTCATTCCAGGTCAACCAGACCAAAGGACAAAGAAGACTATCAAAAAAAAAAAAAAAAAAAAAAAAAAAAAAACAAAAAAAAAAAAAAACAATGAGCTGTTCTCTGTAACAGAATTTGTGCAGGATTCTCTGGAACATCATTTGACACCCCCAGAATCTATGATCAACTCTGAAACTCCTGTAGACAAGAACCAACGCAGATAAAGAACTTGAGGCAAAGTCATGGTTCTGAAGCCAATGCAAACACAAGAAGGTGGCTGCTGCCCTCCCGTGAACTTGGAGAACCCATCATCTTCTAGTGCCCCAAGTAAAAGCGCATTTAACAGGGCATTTACGTCCTGGCAAGCGCCACTGTGTCAGACCTGTTTGGTCAGCGATCTGTACAAACAGGCTGGAGCTGGCAAATGACTCAGGGCACCAGAAATCAGAGCATTTCCGAGCCATGCCAAAAGCCGGGTTCCCCCCTCCTTTTAGACAATATGACCTGGATGTTCCTACATTCTAACATTTGCTCAGGGCTCAACTCAAGCCAATGTCAATTAATTGCTTTAAAAATCAAACAGCTAGGCTTCATTGAAAGAGCCAAGCCATTTTGACAGTCTCAAAAATGTGGGGGTGAAGAAAGATAGAGTCTACACTCACCTAAGGAGACAACATTTCCATAATTCTCCTGCATGACATCCCTGTAAAGGTCCCTTTGGGTAGGGTCCAGAGGTCGCCATTCTTCCCTGGTGAGGTACATGGCCATATCTTCAAATGTCACAGGTGCCTGAAATCACACAATGCTTCCTCACTACTCGGTAGCTAGGAGTCGAGTCCCAGTTCTTCTTGAAATTAGAGACATGGTTAGAAATGTTGAGGAGGCAAAGGGTATTAAGTCTGATCTGTGGAGTCAGAGAAGAAACAAACAAGTAAAAAAAGAAAGAGGGAGAAGAGAGATGGTAAAGAGGGGGCAATTTATATGCCGACTGCTCTGGTCCCATGGACAGATACTCCGGCCCCACTCGGGGCAACTCGGCGCTTCCATCGCTCCACACCTTCCCTGCGGCATCCTCCCTGAACAGCCAAATCCTACCGAATGGTCCCGCTCCAGCACCAGCTGTTTTCCCGGGCCCCCCCCCCCCCCCCCCCTCCGTTCCGCTCCACCCTCGGATGCCCCAGATAGAATCAGTCACTCCCACATCTTGTTCCCACCTCACAGCACTTAGTTGCTAGGGCAAATAGAGCACTTATCACGTCGTGTCCCGCTAGCCAGATCCGTCTTTCTCCCTGCAGACTGCGAGCAGGCTGGTAGAGCCGGCCCCTTTCATCTCCCTAATATCCATAGGCATATAGCAGGCGTCCAGAGTGTGTGTGTGTGTGTGTGTGTGTGTGGCTACATCGGCCAGGTTCTAGGCGCTGGGAGGCAGCATCCACCGAAGCGAGCGGATCACTAAACCCAGGGAACTGCCCACACGGGGCTTGCAGGGCAGAGCAGGGAAAGACCAGACGAGGTGGGTGCGCAGAGGCCAGGTACGCGAAGCCACCCCCAGCTTACCTGGGACCCAGCCATGAGCAGGGTGGCTGCCATCTCGGGCACAAGGACTCGCCTCCCGGGAGAGCCAGCAGGAAAAGCAGCTAGCAGACAGCGCTGAAGGAGGCGAAAAGCAGGGCGTGAGACACGGAAAACAGGCCCTGCCCACTCCCCAGGGCTGGAGTTCTGGCCGCAAGGCGGGCGGGGAGGGCCCTGGACCAGGGCGGGTCACACTCCTCCTTGACCCCCAAGCGCGACTCGCCCTCTGGCTCTCGGCCACCAGGGGGTGGCGGCAACGCCTGAATCGACTTAGGACAGCCTACTGGCTGGGTCCCTCCCGGGCCGGGGGTCAGCCAGACGCTGTCTCTGGGAGGAGGCTCTCAGCCCAGCCCACAGAAAGCCTCGGCTCTTCCATCTCGAGACCGGGTCCTTTCCGGCAGCTAGCTCAGCCAATCAGCGAGCGAGGCTTGCAAAACCTTTGCCAATTAGATGCCGAGTAGTATGCCCGCCTCCCGCAGCGTGGCCATGCTCCCCCACCACGCCTGCGCTCGTCCCGTGGCCTGCCGGGAGTTGTAGTTCCCGTCGGAAGTACAAAGGCCAGTCAGAGGCCAAAAGCGGAGGAGGGAACAGAACAAAAGGGTTCAGAAGGAAGAGCGTCCTTCCTCGCCAGGGTGGAGTGTTTCTTGTTTTCCCCTCTTGGAGACGACGGCCCAGTTAAGACAGGGAAGTTGTCCTGCTTCTTAGAGCCCTAGAAGCCTCTCTAGAGGCCGACCTTATCCGCGCCGTCGGACGTAATCGAGGTGCTGGCCGTGCTGGGCTCCGCTGGGATTAAACCCCATTTGACAGCCTGGGCCAGAGGAAAGCAGCAGCCGCCCACTCCCCAGGGGAGACTCGGAGGCCGCGCTGCAACTTTGGGCCCCGCCCACGCACTACATCTCCCAGCAGCGCCTGCGGCGTCGCACCCGGCTCCGCAGACTACAACTCCCAGTAGGCCCTGCGCCGCCCCGCCCCGCCCCACAGCGCGGTCTGCGGTCTGGCCTTGCGGGGTGGCGGTTCTGCGGCTATTAGCCCTGTAGGGGCGTCCGACTGTGTCCTTCTAAAGGGGCGACCATCGAGCCGAGCGCTGAGTTGCTCCCATCGGAGCGAAAACCCCGGGGGAGATCCGAAGCGGGAGCGGGGGGTAGGGCGGGGCGGGCCGTGCTTGTCCTCCCCGAGGGCTTCTCTGGAGGGCTTGGAAGGGCTCCGGGAGGCCTCCCGCGCGAAGGCGCTCTGGGCCCCGGAGGGCCTGAGCCGAGCGGCCCCTTGGGCCGCTAGCAGACCCCGTCCCGCCGAAGGTAGGAGGCCGAGAACCCGAGTTGAGGACAGACAGACTTACCGCCTTGGCCCGCAAAAGAGCCGCTAGATGAACAGCTCCAAGATCCGAGCGGTCTCCCCGAAGCCGCAGACGAGTTTCTGCAGACCTCTATTTTTGAGATCGCTGGCAGAGCCCGGAGAGCCCGGCCCCGCAGGTAGATCAGGAATCCGTAGGCGTGCAGGCTAAGTCCGGAGATCCTGCGCGGATCCCGGGTTCTCAGAGAAGCCCCAGGCTCCCCAGCAGCTGGCCAGGCACCACCAGCAGCGGCGGCTACACTGCGTGCAGCGGGAGCTCCTCGGAGCGGAAGCGCTTGCAGCCTTCCCTTTCCCCAGCCAGGATGCGGGAGGTGGACAATGGACGCTGAGCGCTAGGGAGACGCATTCTGCACGGGGAAGAGCGAGCTCGCTGCAGCCTTGGAGAGGGAAGTGATGGAAAAAGAATATAGCAGCTTATTAGGGACTCCCACCCTCTTCAAGTTATAAATATCCCCAGAACCCTGGCTCCGTGCCCGGAAGCCTGTTGTCTCTGACTGTGCAGGAGACTTCTCCGCTCAGCCTGGGAAAGGGGCTCCGGTTTTGTTTTGTGGATGCATCCACCCACTGAGAGACTCGATTGTTTTTCCCCCCAAACATGACTCCAGGCCATGCTTTTGTTAGTGAGTGTCCTGTTCCCTGTGCCCAGTTATTTATGGGTAAATCACTCATGTCTAAAAAGAACTAATAGGACCCTAGGCAGCCGTAATGCAGACTCTCCCACTCCTACTCCTCTTCCCACCCCCCTCTGTGGGGCTAGTTCTTGAGAATTGAACCCTCCCCGCCCATCTAAAATGCATGTGGGTGCCACGTGACCTGGAGCCCTCGGGCCTCAAGATGCTGGGTCAGGATCCAGGCTGTATAGTTCTTTGGAAAGTCAGTCTCCCGAGACCCACTCCCCTCTCTGTAAAGCGGGAATATAATCCCATCTAAGGACTCTGCACAAAGTAGGCACTCAGATGACAGCTCCTGCTGTGGCAATCCTGCCCTTGGTGGCAAGGGAGACGTCCGGAAGACCTAACGTGTATTTCATGGCTCAGAGAATCTGGAGGATCAGAGTGGCTTGGCCACCGTGAGGATCTGGGGGCTGGAAATTCAGACGGGACTTTTCTTCTTTTCTCTTTCTTTTTTTCTTTCTTTTTTTTTTGACGGCAGAGTTAGACAGTGAGAGAGAGAGAGAGAGAAAGGTCTTCCTTCCGTTGGTTCACCCCCCCAAATGGCCGCTGCGGCCAGCATGCTGCGCCGATCTGAAGCCAGGAGCCAGGTGCTTCCTCGTGGTCTCCCATGCGGGTGCAGGGCCCAAGGACTTGGCCCATCCTCCACTGCACTCCTGGGCCACAGCAGAGAGCTGGCCTGGAAGAGGGGCAACCGGGACAGAATCTGGCACCCCAGCGGGGACTAGAACCTGGGGTGCCAGCACCGTAGGCGGAGGATTAGCCAAGTGAGCCGCGGCACCAGCCTTTTATTTATTTATTTATTTATTTTTGACAGGCAGAGTGGCCAGTGAGAGAGAGAGACAGAGAGAAAGGTCTTCCTTTTGCCGTTGGTTCACCCTCCAATGGCCGCCGCGGCCAGCGCGCTGCGGCCGGCGCACTGCGCTGATCCGATGGCAGGAGCCAGGAGCCAGGTGCTTTTCCTGGTCTCCCATGGGGTGCAGGGCCCAAGCACCTGGGCCATCCTCCACTGCACTCCCTGGCCACAGCAGAGAGCTGGCCTGGAAGAGGGGCAACCGGGACAGAATCCGGCGCCCCGACCGGGACTAGAACCCGGGGTGCCAGCGCCGTAGGCGGAGGATTAGCCAAGTGAGCCGCGGCACCAGCCTTTTATTTATTTATTTTTAAAGATTTATGATAGAGTTACAGAGAGAGGTAGAGACAGAGAGAGGTCTTCCATCTGCTGGTTCACTCCCCAGATGGCCGCAACGGCTGGAGCTGCACCGATCCGAAGCCAGGAGCCTCTTCCAGGTGCAGGGGCCCAAGGATTTGGGTCATCTTCCACTGCTGTCCCAGGTGCAGAGAGCTGGATCGGAAGAGCAGCAGCTGGGACTAGAACCAGCGCCCATGTGGGATGCTGGCACTTTAAGTCAGGGCTTTAACCTGCTGTGCCCTGAAACTGCAGGTTTCTAACTGGCCTTAAAGTGACGTGAGGGCCTGAGCGCCTCAGCCCGGCAGGGCCTCCTTCTCGTCCTCTCCCTGACAGATTGCTTTGTAAACCTCCCTAGGCCTTGCCACCCCTCAACCCCACCCCCAGCGCTTTAAGCCTCTCTCTGTCCCCTCGCTGTTTTATTCCTCAGGCCTGCGGGGAGAGGCGGGTACAGGACAACTCTGCAGGCCCAGCTTGGCCGCTTGCCTTCCTCTGCGTGCTTCTGGTCTTTTTTCCACCTGGGACCCTCCAGAGGGTGGAGAAGAACAGCTGAGAGCAGAGGGAAAAGGCCTGGCTGCACTGGGCGCCCCCGGGGGTGGAGGAGGGGAGAGGGGGAGGAAAGACAGTGGCTGCAGGGTTTCCTGTTGGATGTCGAGGGCTGGGGTCACTGGAAGAGGAGGTGGCTTCCTGCCCCATTGTTCGCGAGTCAGGAATACTTAAGGTTTGTCGGTTTTCAGCAAGCACTGTGGAAGGCCCTGTTCGCTCCTCTGATGCAGCAAAGAGTGAGTGTACAGCCCATCACTGGCTCCAGGGGCCAGGCCAGTCCCCGGGCAGGTCTCTGTTCAGGCTTCTTTATCTCTGAATTGAGGGCTCGATCAAGACCCTTCTTTGTATTTTCTTAAACCTGTGCACTATTACCAGGCCAGGGTGCCTGTAGAGCAATGTAAATGATTGGATTTTCATAAATCCTATCATGTGGGCAGCACAGCGTGTTGGCCTTTTTTGTATCAGAAGCATGAATTAGATCTTTAAAAGCACGCTTTAGTGTTTGTAATCCTGTTGTGTCATCCCTTCATTTTGCAGTGGATGGGGAACCTCAAAAACTTGAAGTGGGGCTGGAGCTGTGGAGCCGCGAGTTAAGCGACTGCCTGGACGCCGGCACCTACGTCAGAGTGCCTGGCCCGAGGCCCAGCTGCTCTGCTTCCGATCCAGCTCTCTGCTAATACTGCCTGGGAAGCAGCAGACAATGGTTCAAGTACTTGAGTCTCTGCCACCCATGTGGGAGAATGGAATGGAGTTCCTGGCTCCTGGCCTCTGCCTGGCCCGGTCTCAGATGTTGCAGGCCTGTGGGCAGTGTGCCAGCAGATAGAGGATCTCGCCTTGTCTTTCCCTCTCTGTCACTCTGCCTTTCAAATAAATCAATCAAGCTTAAAAAAAATCAAAGTGCCGGGACTGGCGCTAAGCCTCTGTCTACTGTGCCGGCATCTGATATGGGTCCCCAGTTTGTGTCCCAGCTGCTCCTCTTCCAATCCAGCTCTCTGCTATGGCCTGGGAAAGCAGCTGAAGATGGCCCAAGTGCTAGGGCCCCTGAACCTGCTTGGGGGACATGGAGGAAACACCTGGCTCCTGGCTTTGGCTCGGCCCCCCGCCCCAGCCATTGCAGCCATTTGAGGAGTGAACCAGTGGATCAAAGACCTTTGTGTCTCTCTCTCTCCCTCTCTCTGTCTGAAACTCTACCTTCCAAATAAATAGAATCTTTTAAAAAAAAAATCAAAGTGCCCTGAGTGGGGCTGGCATTGTGGCACAGTGGGTTAAGCCACTGCTTGTGACATGGACATCCTATACTGGAGCATGGGTTCAAGTCTCAGTTGTTCCACTTCTGATCCAGCTCCCTGCTAATGCATCTAGGAAAGCAGTGGAAGAT